TTGGTTCTGAAAGTTCATCTTCTGAATCTGATTTGGATTTGTAACAAGTAGCTGTAAGTTTTATATTAATATTTTTATTCATCTATTTAACATACCTTAGACGGTTTTAAAAACTCTTTTTCTCTTTTGTAATTTTTAAAAATTAAAAAAATGTGAATTTTTTAAAACCCTTTTTAATGTAGGCCAGTCAGTTCTAATATAGTGTGTGATAAAAGAGGTCACTTTTGTTTACATACACATAACACTTTATAACACTGAAATAATTCATTTATTTTTAACAATTATTCAAAGTAATTTTTCAACCAATCTTGAGCACGCCCATGGAGTGGTCGAAGGTACCAGTTAAAATTATGCTAATTACTCTCTTGTTCATAAAAATAAACTATAGTACACGACATTTGTCTATTTATCTATAAGTCCATACTGGTACCAAAACCAGAATTTTATTATTATTAGAAATTATATTAGCTTTTTTATATTCTTATTACATCACTGTCATTTCTTTTGTCATCAGTTTAATAGAATTTATCAAATAATTGGTCTTCCATATTGGTCCAGTCAACTTTTGGATTTTCGCTTGGTACCATATTTGTCATGCATAACATTTATGTTCAAACCAGCTTCTTACAGGCGACATCTAACTTAGCATAGTTCCAATCTCTTTTAAGTGTTGTCAGAACTATGTCATTCGCAAATCGTAGGTGGGAGAGCATTTCGCCGTCGACATTGATTCCGTTAGCATCTCACTCCAATTATTTGAAAGCATATTCTAGGACTGTCGTAAAGAGTTTGGGAGATAAAGTATCTCCTTGTCTGATTCCTTTATTAACTTTTATACCCTTTGTATTTTTATGTAATTTTACACTCATGGTTGTGTTTTTGTATATGTTTTCAATCAGTTTGGAGTACCGATAATCTATACGACTTTCCTCCAACACTCTTATTACACTTTTAATTTCTATCGTATCGAATGATTGTGAAAGTCTACAATAACGTAGACGAATGGTTGGTTGGTTCGATTGGACCAACCGACCCATTTTGATAATTGACAAAATTAAGTAAAGCTGATCCATTCAAAGTTGCTTTATATCTTCAGCAGTAAGCATCTTAGACTTTTTGCAGCATATGGCAATATAAATATTATTTTTAACATCGTGTGTTTTTCTCAACATCGAATATGTTTTATAAGTTTGAACGGTTTAATTTGTTTGGCGGTTTGAAATTTTTATAAAGAATATCATTTTTTCATAAAACTAATAATAGAAAGTTTCCCATATGGTGCCGACTTAATTGGAGACCCTGTATATATATTAAACTTATAACATGATGGTAAAACCAACCTTAAGGTATATGTCAATCAGTGATAGATAGCCAAATGTGCAACAAAAAAGTACCAGTCTCAAGTTAAGCAAGGTGAAAAGATTTGATTGCCTTACAATTAGAGAGAATTTGAATGTCACACCAACAGCAGGTATGAAGTTGTAAGGGGGAGGCGAGAATGGGATAATATAGGCTCCGAAAAACCCTCCGAAATATCAAAGACTATAAACGAAATTACGGCTACCGTATCGGTGATCACTTCTGACCATATTGTTCATAAACATACGCCCTAAGGACATTTCAAGATCCACATATGCACATGAGATTGATCGGAAAGACGGAAACAGACTAGCTGGTGGGGTGTCAAAATATCATTTCTATTCCACTAGGAAAATACACATCTAAATTCAAATTTAATATAACCGTCAGAAAACTTACATGTTAATTGCCCCAAAAAAGATAAAATGCATGGTTATAACTGCAAATTTACCAAGATGTAATTGGTGCTGGAAGGTCATATAATAGAACAAGTGATGGAGTTTAAATATCTAGGCATCACATTCTCTAGCTACGGAAAGCTCGAAGCAGAAGTAGAAGATCAAATGAATAGAGCAAACGGAGCAGCAGGTTGCCTGAATGAAACAATATGGAGAATTAAAAATGCCGGGAAAGAAATGAAAGGCAGAAACACGACCTGCACAGAGAGGACAAAAAGAATGTTAGAAATAGCAGAGATGAAAACACTTTAAAAAATTAATGGGAAATCACTATGCGACAGAGCTAGAACTACAGATATACGACGTAGATGCAGGGTCGAGAACATCAAGGTATGGGTAAGAAATAGAAGAGTAAAATGGAATTATCATATAAGTCGAATAACAACAAATAGAGTAGTAAAGACGGCAAGAGACGGTTCCCCAATAAGAAGACGATCAGTAGGAAGACGACGAAAATGATGGAACGGCAACTTACTGAAGGCACATTGAAAAACAGACAGCCATGTCTACATAAAAAGAATAAGGTCAAGTATAATAATATCACACTGGTATAGGCGCATTTTATAGCGGAATACACTGTAATGAGAGACCTGAAGAACTTGCTAAAAAGAATCAGCTACAAATTATTTTGGTCCGAAGCCGATTAGGAGTGCCAAAAAGAACTGTCCGCGATCTGATGCTGAAGACTCTGGCATAGAACTTGAAACAGTCAACTATATTTTGCCTTAAAGCGACATGAGATCATATACTATCCACAAGCGACTTCGGTTGGCTGTAGTGCGACCGCTGTATTAACAAACTCAGAGCTTTAATGAAAAAAAAGTTATATGTTCATAGCATATAAGTTAACGGTAAGCTATTTAAAGAATTATCAATATAATAACCATATGCACATGTGAGTCCATTTTATAAAAAAAAAATAAAAATAATAGGATAGTTTTTATTTACTGTATTGTTGTTTTATTGTGATCCGTTTTGGAAGTTACCAATATATGAGCTCTAACAATTGTATATTGAAACAAACTAAAATACGTGCATAATTCAGATAGTTGACAGTTTATTTTTTCTATTAATACTTTTAATGTAATACTCTGTAATTAGTTAATTACTAATAATTAGGTTCAATCAGCAATATAAAACAAAATATAATTACATTGAACAGAACTAATTTAATACAAAATGTTTATTCTGTTGGCAACTAAATATTCGATCATAGAACGCATATTTACTTTTAAAACGGAGTTTGACCTTATGACCGGTCTAATTCAGTTGGGCATTGACTTGACTAAGAATATACACTGTTCAGGAGTACATTCATTCCAAATCTGCTCTATTTTGGCTTTAACTTCGTGTAATGTCCATTGTGGTTGTTCCTTAGTGTCTGTTTATTTTATGCCATACTGTTTCAATAACATTTAGCTCAGGACTACTGTTAGAAGGCCAAGAAAAGACGTTTATATTGTGGGCTCCGTCCTGCTGAAAAATATAATTATCACCAACATTTGATGTCACAATGCTTATAGTAGCTGTATAAAGTATTTGTTGATATTTAACAGCATTTACGGTACCCTCTAACAAACAAACAGCCTTTGTAAAAAGCCTCATGCTTAGTGTGTATAACTCGTTTGCGGTGATCACCAACACATACGTTGAATTTTGATTCGTTACTAAAAATTACTCTTTACCAATCTTCTATCGACCAATAAAGTTTGCCCATATGAGCCCGGCTTGCTTTTCCTTTGCCTATAAGAAAATATAATTTTTTAAACTACAAGTACACTTTTAAATTAAAAACTTTAATCCAGATTTATGTATCTACTTGCGACAGCATTTCCTTGACACGTTTAATCCAGTTTCATGATTCCATTCAGCTGTAACGTGTTTAGAGTATGTCTTCGGCCTTTTTTGCAAACTTTTACTAATATTCCCTTATTCATATCAGAAACTAGTTTTGAACGACCAGGGCTTTGTTTCCCCAGAATGCTTAATTATATTCCACACTGTAGATTTAGGAATAATAAGCTTATCTGTCACTTCACGGATTGTTTTATTGCGGCAATCATTTTTAATTTGTAACTCATTAATTTTTGAATTGGTAGAGATACCGCGCACTATTTTACTCAAATACTACAGCCTTTCACTCAATTTGACAAGGATTTGAGTGACTGAAATGTGGTTGTGAGTGAAATACAACTGTAGCATATAGTTTGACGTTTGTTGGAGTGTCTGGCTGCATTGTCTCGCATCCTACTTGACTTATCTTGTTTTCAGCAGTTACTTCATACTGTCCTATTATTTAGTGGTCACTAATTTTTACATATATTTATGATATTTATGACAGAAGTTATATAGGTTGTATATGGGTTGTGTATGAGTTCAGAGACAAAAGCCAAAAATCAATGTAGTTAACTTTGACGATATAAACATAAAAAATAACATTAAAAAAGAATTTAACAATAGAATAAAAAACATTGGAAAACAACTAGAAGATCCAGAAGAACTATGGAGTGAATTTAAAAACCAAGTAAACGAAATCTCCACAAACAATAATTATAGAAAAAACTTAATCAAGAAAAATAAATGGATGACAGACGACATCTTAAAATTAATAGAACAACGTCGACTGATAAAATGTAATGAAACAAAATATACACACTTAGAGAAAAATAAAAAAAAGGAGATCAAATTAGCCAAAGAAAATGGATGAGAGAAAGGTGCGACGAAAAGGAGGTTGTAATATTTAAACACAACTTATTGAATGTGCACAAAAAACTAAAAGAAATGAGTAACAAAATTATTGTAAATGAGCACGAAATAAGAAAAGAATGGCAGCTGTATATATTAGAAGTTGTTTGAAGATGACAGGAATAATAATGCCGAACTCCATCAAATCTGTACTGACGAAATTATAAAAGAAATTATAAAATACGCGGTAGAACACGTTATAAATAATGCTAAAATTAGAAAAGCTTGTGGTCCAGATAATACTAAGTTGAAACTAATAGTGGATGATAACATAAAAGTAGTAGTAAGACTTTTTAATTCAATATATAACACCGGAGTGATTCTCACATCTCGAAGATACCCAATTTGGTTTTAGATATGCTATGGGAACCAGGGAGGCACTTTTTGCGCTTAACATCCTACTACAAAAATTCGATAACGGACAGCGTGTAAAATGATTGCAAATACTGAAAAATATCGGCGTAGATGACAAGGATATTCGTGTCATTAAAAATTTGTACTGAAGTCAAACTGCTATCGTAAAAATTGGAGATAACTACACCGATGAAATCTCTATACAACGAGGAGTCAGACAGGGTTGCATTTTGTCGCCAACATTATTTAATGTTTACTCGGATCAGTTATTTAAAAAGGCACTTCAGAGACAACCGTATGGAATAAAAATCAACGGGAACTACTTAATGTGATTAGATTTGCAGACGATACAGTAATTCTGTCAGATAATATTGAAGGTCTCCAAATTCTGCATGAACGTATTATTAATAATAATAATAATAATAATAATAATGTTTATTAATTCCATATACATTGTATAAAAAGAACATGAACGCATGAATGCATGAACGTCTTCACGAGGTAAGAGAGGAAATGGGCATTAAAATAAACTCAAACAAAATCACATTTTTAGTGTTTAGTCGTGACCCACATTCCGATGCAAAGCTTCAATTAAACTGAGTCCAAGTTGAGAAAGATCACAAAATGACATATTTGGGAACTGTGATAACGGACCAACTAGATCCAGATATAGAAATAAAACGTAGAATAGCAATGACTAAAACTGCTTTTATGAGAATTAGGTCATTTCTTTGCAATAATCATCTCAGTTTAGAACTAAGACAAAGAATGGTTAAATGCTATGTTTGGTCCGTACTTTTGTATAGTGCAGAAGTGTGGACGCTAAAAGTATCGATCATGAACAAAATTAAAGCATTGAAATTTTGGGTTCATAGACGAATGCTGAAAATACCTTGGACAGCAAGGAAAACTAATGAAGAAGTACTAAGGAGCGTCAACAAAGATAGAGAACTACTAAAGACTGTTAAACATCGAAAAATGTCTTATCTGGGACATATGGTAAGGCGAAGTCGATATAAAATATTACAACTGTAGATGTGTAGAAAAGAAACGGGTTTCTTGGTGGAAGAACATTCGTGAACGGACTCGGATATCAAAAGGGGGACAATTATTCCATATTGCAGAAAATCGAGAAGCCTTCGCAATGGTGATTGCCAACTTCGGATAATTCTGATATGGAACGCGGCACGCGAAGAAGAATGAGTTGTAAAAAAATAATAATTATCTTTTGTGATTATTTATCATTTAAAATATTGCTTATATAACATTATTATGACAATTATTTAAAAAAGAATAATAAATTAACGATTAAACACCTGCATTTCTTATATATTTAGTCAAAATTAGGACATAAAAACATAAACGACTGGATACTAGACACAAAAAATAAATGACATGGATAAGTTGAATGGGAGACCTCAAACTAGTAAAGATTAGACGAGATAAGTCACCAAACAGCCGAAGAAGTATAGGAAGTCCAAGAAAAAGAATAAGTGACCAGGTTTCTGCATTGTTTAGCAATACCCGCCAGACCCAGCGTATAATAACTACTAATCCTATATGCAAGAGCATCTTTCGTTGTAGCATTACTTGTCTAAATTTGGTAAAACGTTTTATTAACCAGACTTTAAAACCATCCAAATTTAAACCTCATTGTCCCATTATGAATTCTAGAAGCTACATATTTAAACTGCTAGTCACTAATAATATTAACCGTGTTTTATTTTTCCAGCCTAGAGTATACTCTTGCATGGTGGCATCTTGTGAAACAGTTGGTCACATCGGCTTGTTCTGTCATTTTCCAAAAGATCCGGTTACGAGGAAAAAATGGATATTGGATTTACCGCCTCTGGGGACAAAAAAATTTAACGAACACTCCGTTCTTTGTTGGAGACATTTTACTTTTATGAATAGTAAAAATGGCCAAAAGAAAGGTATGACCGTGTGGTTATTTTGTTTGATTTACGTTTAGAAAAAGATAGAATAATAGCAAAACAATATAAAATAAAAGGGTTTAAGTGCACTTTTCTAAAGATATACTCGAAGTACAGATTCGCCTACTTAAATGGTATTATAACTTGGTAGTAAAACGATTCAAGCATATTTCGCCCCTACAATCGCCATCTATAGCCATTACATTTAATTTAATGCAAACAATTGCAGTTTGCATTGGTAGTACAGGTTTATGTGCGCTTGAACCGTTTTACCACAAAACTATTTTTAGTATTCTGTAAAAACACATGTAAAAAACAGGATTATTTTCAAGTAAATAAATAGGTCCACGCACCAGTGGCTGATCTACGATGAGGGAAAATTTCCCTCCCTAACAAGGTCCAAAATTTAACCCAAAAAACAAGTTAGTTAGGAAAATTATGGGAGCTTAATGTATACAAGTTGTTGTTTCATTGAAAGTTTCCCCCTAAGACAAATTTCCCATCCCAAGGCAAATGTCTAGATCTGTCACTGCAAAGCACCAGCACTAGAGTTTTCTATAAAATTCAATATTTTGTATTTTTTGCAGAAGAATCTGATCCTTTCCAAACTGACGACGATTCAGATTACTTATATACCGGATAAAAAGAACAAACGGATGATGACACAGAGATTGGCGAGTTTTTCTCTGAAAACAATGACCATTTACATATTATTCCTGAAACAACAAGAAAACGTAAGCGAGACCTCAAAATTTAAAAGACAACATAGCAAAAAAAAATGCGAATTGAACAGAAAGCGTATGTTGGACGAAAAAATAAACCACAGAAAGCCAGAGAACTGAAAGTCTATAACCATGTATGTCGATTTCGTTGCAACGATAACATTAATGAAACGGAAAGGCGCAAAATATTCCAAACATATATCGGAGTTCGAAATGAGTGAACCTGATAAACGAGAGAAGAAAGAACCCCTAAACAAAATTTAACAATCATCCAAAAATATGGTGATTTCCCATATTAAGATGTTTCCAAACAATCAGAGACATTATTCAAGAAAAAAACAATCCCAATACTAAATACCTTCCTAGATATTTGAATATTAGTAAGATGTATAATCTCTATAAGGAATTTTGTAATGAACAACATGAAGAACCTGTAAAAGAATCATATTATCGATTTATCTTTAACACAGAGTTTAATTTGAAATTTCAAAAGCCTTATAGTGATACATGTAGTCGCTGTAATAATTTTCAGAACTTGATATAATATTCTGAAAATAAGGAAACCATTTCAAATGCTAAACGGGATTTAGAACTACGTCAGAGAAAAGCTCTGTCGTATAAGACTGACTTGGGCAGCCTTCGGCAAGCTGAACCAAATTTTCAAATCGTCTTATATACCAATATGCCTTAAAAGAAAAACCTTTAATCAGTGTCTTTTGCCAGTGTTGACTTACGGTGCGGAAACGTTGACCATGACAAGGAGAACAGTTCAAAAGATCCGTGTATGTCAAAGGGCGATGAAGCGTGCTATGTTGGGCGTTTCACTACGAGACCAGATCCCAAATCGCCAGCCACGACAAAGAACAGGAGTGGCTGATGCAGTAGAGAGAGTAGCTGAAATGGAACTGGGCAGGTCACGTGGCTCGAATGACATAATATATGGACAAAGCGGATACTGGAATGGAGACCAAGAGATGAAGCCTACCGAAGCAGAGGTCGTCCACCAACACGTTGGACTGACGATCTAAAACGTTGTCATAGGAATTGGATGCAAGAGGCACAAGATCGAAATAGATGGAAAATTATAAGGGTAAATCTATGTCCAGCAGTGGATAAGCGAAGATTGAATGATCAGAGAAAAGCTAAGAAAGCAAACGATTCTAAAACATTAGATATTGTTTTATACAGATTTGCAACAGACATTGCCAACACCACTAGTAACTACGTCCAAGGTATTTTACCTTCGTCAACTATGGACGTACACTTTTTATATATACAACTTACTTACTGGACAAAGTAACATTTTTATGGAATGAAACAATTGCAGCAAGAGGTCCCCAGGAAATTTGGTCATATCTGACAAAATTTATCAGGTGTCTACCTCCCAAGGTAACAAAGATAGTTGCATATAGTGATTCTTGTGGGCAGAATAAAAACAAAAGCATCTGCAAACTGTTCTCCTTCATCGTTCAATCTACTTGTATTACCGAGATCCATCACAAGTTTCTGGAACCTGGTCACACCTATGTGGAGTGTGACCGCAGTTTTGGTTTAATTAAAAAGAAGAAACGACAAATTCCTCAAGTTTTTGTTCCAGCATATTGGAAACGTATTATAAAAAATACATCGTCAAAGTTTGTGGTTTACAACATAACAACAGAAGATTTTTACTTGTTTTGGATCCTATATGAAACAATGAAAGATCCTAAAAAGGATTCCGTTGGTCAAAGAATACAATGGCGCAGTATTTCCTGGTTGGCACATTTTAAGACAGAAAAACTGACTTTCAGATACCAGCATACTTTAAACCAGGATATTGAGTTTTTGATGTGTACTATGGGAAAAGCACAAAGTGGATGTCCATCTTTTTAGCTCTCCAAATTGAACCCTATTAATGACACGACGTTACCAATTAAGGATGCCAAATATAAAAATCTGCTAAGCCTCTTGGACTACATTCTCTTATGTTAAAACTCCTTTTACAGAAATTTGAAATATACTGGAACATCAACGCAGATGCAAAATTGAAATCAGCAGAATCAGCTGCCAGCAGAGACGACGCCGATGGGAACGATGCCAAATATCAAAACTGCCCATAAACCCTTTTACGTCTGACCCCCCTCAATTATCGTTGATTCTAACATATTCGCCGCCTATCGTGATTCTGATACTAATCTGCCGATCACGCTTGAGCGCGTTATACGCCCATATTTTTTATCTGCAGTAAAATAATTCGAGTATGTATTCGATAGAAATCGTTACCTTTGGTCAGACGCGAATGGGTTAAGATCTAATGATTTTATTGTTAAACGACGTCATAATTTAGTTGTTTTAAAGTTGTATTGTTGTAAAGAAAATTAAACCTGCATGGGAAGAAAGGAGATGGAGGAAATAAAAAATTAACCCAAGCAGAAGATTTGTCTTGGAATTGTAAGTTGGACAAAGAATTCCAGCTTTAAAGATGTTCACATTGCGATGGCTCTCAGGTGTTTTGAATGATACAACGACGAGATTTGGGAATTGGGTCTACAGTTCTCTAAACGGGGAATACTGAAGTCAGAAAGAAAATAACAAAGAGAATCATACTAACTGGAAGGGAAGTAGATAAATATGTTCCTGAAAATCTGCAGGAGCCTTCCAAAAGTTCCTTAAAATTTCCACGGTTGCTAACTCCGGTTTCTTCCTGATGTCCACGATAAGACTTGTTTGGCTGAGGGCTGCTCGGATTGGTAGTTGCATAAATCTTCTGTTATTCGCTCCGTTCTCGTTGAAGCAGACAATATAAGGCCTTCGATTTTCTTGCATCTTCAAAAGTTGTCAATTTTTTCTGCAATCTCGTAAAAGCCATCTTCTTTAGGTACCATCTCCTCTAAGGAGGTTGGTAATCATCACAGCTATTTTCACTTTTGAGATTGCAGCTCTGAACAAGTCGACGGAACTGCAATTATACCACTTTCTCAGATTGTTCTTCCAATACTTCGTTTTCCCTGTATTTTTCCCCGCATTATGGTTTGTAGCAACACATATTTATCCCCTCTCATAACGTGGCCGAGATACTGTAACTTTCTTATCTTAATCGTATTCATTATTTCCATTTCCTTTGTCATCTTTCTGAAGACCTCAATATTTGTTATTCGGTCTACCCAACTTATTTTTAATATTCTTCGGTAGGTCCACATCTCGAATGCTTCCAGTCGATCGCTCACCTCTTTCTTTAAGGTTCAGGCCTCCACCCCATAATGCAGCACCAAAAACACATAAACACGTAAAAGCCATAGCACAGCATAAATGTTCGGTAGAACCTTCTATTATGAAAAGACTAATCTCCATACTGAGAGTACCAGGTCTATTTAAAATTACGATTGAAATATTTGCCGTT